GCAGTAGCTCAAAGTATTTCCTTGCCAATATGACTACAGCTTGTGGGATGCAATGTTTGAAGCAATGGCCAGCAGTCGTGCTGCCTTGCTATGATTTGTTCTGCCCAGGCAACTTTACATCATCCCGCCATGTTGCTAAATGCCAAACTAGAGCAATAGATTAAAAAGTTTGGATCACATATTAACACATCCTACAATTATGATCCAAGCAACAACAAAAAAAATGTGGGCTTAGTTGGTTATCCTTAAGGCAATTGAGGTGTCGTTACAGGATCAAATCCCGGATATGCGCAATTGACCAACCAAGCATGCAGTTGGCTGGAGTCGGATTTGGGGTGGCTACTCAGTAGCCACACATGGAGTAGGCAATGGCTGGAGCACCTATGTGGCACACGGGAAATTTTGAAGTCAACCGTTCTCCTGCCCAAATCTGGTGCACGGCACGAAGATTAAGTTGCTGACTAATGCATAGCAAGTCGTGATATGATATGAAAACAAGCATTCGATCCATCAAGCAGCAGCAACTAGAAAACCATGGTAGCCGAACATGAGAATTTAAGTAAACAGAAGTAGCTATTGAGTTTATGATATGATCCATTCGTGTATACCTTGCTCAGTGGTGCTTACAGAGTTGCTCCCCTGCGAGCCGATGGACCTCCTCCCGCTGCCGATGGCGGCGGTCGCATCTACGGCAGCGGCCGGCTTGGGGCCGGCGGGGACCAAGGATCCCAAGGAGTTGCGCCGCTCGACGCGCTTCCGGCGCGCCTCGAGGCGGCGTCGGCTCTGCATCTCGCGGCGGCGCCAGCGCTCCTCCTCGGTCTCGGTGGGCAGCGAGGTGGTGCGCAGCAGCAGCGGCGCGGCGGGGGATGGGTCGGCGTCCGCGTCCGCGTCGCCGTCGCCGTGGAGGGAGGAGACGGAGCAGACGGAGGCGATGGAGGAGGAGCGCGCGAGGCGCAGGCGCTTGGCGCCGGCGTCGGTGCCGAAGCGACCGCCCAGCGAGAGGCCGAGGCTGAGCTCGACGTCGGCGGCGTTGGCGGCGTCCGCCGGCGCGCCCGACCCCTCGCCGCCGGCGCCGAAGACGCGCAGGAAGTCCCTCGACGCCATCGGCCTCCCCACGCTAACTAACAGCCTGCAGGCTGCTCCGTGCTCCCAAGCAAGGAAGAAGCTTGGGGGAAGAATTGATTATTAAGAATCCATGGTGGCAACGACCGACCGACGAATGGGGAACAGCAAGATGTCGGGAGCAAGCGCACCCCCGCCCGGCCGCCCCGCACGCGGACGAATCTTCCTAGAAGCGCGGCCGGATCGGCGGGCGGCGAAGGAGACGCGACCGAGGCATGCAATGGCCACCGAGGGCAATCGGGGGGAGAGAGATGTCAGATATGGCAGACAGCAGGTTGGAAGAACGGTAGGGGGAGGCGAGAAGATGAGAAGAGCAATCAGATCTCCGTCCGTCCCTGCCTGCCTGCAGCGGCCTGGCTGCAGAGGACGGGCGATTGGTGAGACTCGACTCGGGACGGGGGGACGTGGCCGTCTAATCCGATTTGCCCCCACTCCTCCGTCCTCCGCCGGCCCCTCGATGATTGGGGTTGGCAACTTGGGATTGGGGGCACGGCAGCAAAGGCATTTTTTTTTATTTTTAATCATTTTTTATTTAATATTTTAATAATCATCATTCCTAAAAATTTTTGTGATCTAACTTTTTTGAGCGATGGCGCGAACGCGACCAAATAACCTTGTCGCATCGCAGCAACATCGTCAGTCGTTAAAGGACATTTTCAACGTGAAAAATGATACGCTGTCACATCACTTTCGCTGACGTGACTGTATTATTCTGTGGCAACTAGGCAGGGGCAGGAGGGGCCCACGCAGCATCCGAGGGATTGAAAGAAAGAAAGAAATAAAATACTCGTATACAAGTACTACTAAAGAGGACCGCGTGTCGTGTCGACTCCGCGACATGCCACGTACGCCGCCGCTGCCGGCCTGGAACAGCCGCCCCGCCACTTGCGCCTGCTCTTGGTCCCCCCACCGCGGGCGGTCTCAAAGCCACGCGCGACGTGGGCGAACCGGACGGCGACAGGCGGCAGTGGACCGGATTAACCTCACTCACCCAGAGGCCAGCGCATGGACGTGCATTAATTAATTAATGGTAGCGGCAGCAACGTTGAGCTTGAGCGTCACCGGTCGGTCGGTCGGTCACGTCACGTCGACGGGCAGCCACTTGAGCAGACAGGGCAGCGCAACAGGCGAACAGCCGTCGAGTCTGACCCGTCCACGCGGACAGCTGCCTCTGCTGGGCTCCCCGTGGGCCGTGGACCGCACCGCAGAGCGCAGAGGCCTGTCGCTCTCGTGCGTGATCCGCCAGATCGTCGTCGCCGAGACCAAAGACCGAAAGGTGGGCAATGGGCAGAGTGTTCGGCTGGCTGGCCAGCGCACTCACGGAAATACTGTTCATCTATATAGTATTTTGGATATATAAGTATTTTTCCTCACAACAACGTCGAACAGACTGAAAGACCGAAAGGTGGGGAATAGGGATGGGAAGCGAACCCAACGCCTCTTTCCAGTTCCTTTCCACCCGTCCCCGTCCTCACCAGTCTCATACCCTATTCGTCGGGTCGTTTCTTCGATCGATAAGTAGACTAAGATTGTTTTATCATAAAAAAATATATTATATTATGACCGATAAACGTGACTAATATGATCAAGCGAACAGGGTGGCAGTGCCCCCAACCCAAGACCTAAACGGAACGCTACACGGTGCTCACGCATCCGTCAACCTCAAGCTTTATACCTACCATCGGTTGCCTAGGCGGCTGCTAAGGGCTCGTCGGAGCAGCTTTCAGCCTAGAATAAGCTTTGATAAACAGTTTTTTTTAATAAGAAGTAATTTTTTTCTAATAATTCTATGAAGTGATTTTTCTAAAGAGTAAAGTTCATGGTCCCCCTCGAATTTGTTGGGGATGCGTCATTCCGGTCCTCAATCAAACTTAGAAAATGTATCATCTCGATCTTTAAACTCTGTTTTGGTCTCGTATTCATCCAAACGGGAATGGATTCGTACCCGAGTGCAGAGATAGAACTTGATTGCTTGAAATAAAATATTAGCGGGGTTATAAACAAAATCACCCTGACACATAAATTACACAAATATTTACCAACTTTATGAGGGACTATTTTGAAAGTAGTCTTCTTCCTCGTTAGCAAGGCCGCGTGAGTTCATCTCTCTCCAGTGGCAGGCAGGCGGCGGCGCGACGCAGCAGCAGCAGGCGGTGGCGCGGCCCGCGGCACGGAGTGGCAGCGGCGGCGGCGCGACCAGCAGCACGCGCTCGCCTGCCCCGGCGCGGCGGCGTGGCCCTCACGCTCGCCTGCCCCCGACGCGACGGTGTGGCCCGCGGCCCGCGGCCGGCGCGCTCGCCAAGAATTAGCAGGAGTACTACTAGCAGTGAAGTTCGGATGAATGAGCACGACGGCCATTCTTTGCACTTGCGGCTGCTTGCTCATCAGGGCTCGGTGTGCAGGACGGCCTCGTCCTTCCCCAGCTCCTCGTCGTCGTCGTGGGGGTGGTCATCAGGCGCGCCGCCAGCATGTGCTGCTGCGGAGGGAGGCAGTCGGCAGCGGGCCGGACGCGGCCGTAGTCGAACCCGACCCCGCCCTGCCACGTCTTGATCCCGAGCCCGTTCTGCGCGCGGCTGATCCGTGCCTTGTCCAGCGCCACGTCTGCCACCACCGCGAACGCGCCACCCTTGCCGAGGCTCCCGATGCTGCGCCGTCGCCATCCATGGGCCATGCACGAGTAATCACGTATGTGAACAGGAGGAAGAAGAGCTCACCTGATGCCGGGACGACATATTTTCTGAATCTTGGGACCGAAATAACACACTCCTATAAAGTTCGAGAACCAAACATGAACATTACTCTTTCTAAAATAAACTAGAAGCCCTCGTCGGTTACACTACTCCAACTGCAGTTGCACTTAGAAGCCATCGGCCTGTTTGCTTCGCTGAAAAAAGCAAACCGAAACACTATTTGGGCTTTCGGATGATATGTTGTGAGAGAAAAATACTATTTTAACTGAAAAAAAATTAAAAAGTATGAATTATAAGACAAGCCAACAACTAGCCCATGCATATATGAGAGCACAACTATAACTATAGCTAAAGTAGAACAACTCGTCATAGCCATAGAGTTTTATTCAATATTTTCAGTCAGAGAATCGTTTCTCTCGGAAAAACAGCTTCTACAAAAAGAAATCGGAGTTCTACGGCACAAATACTGCTACATCTGTCCTGATAAAAAAGAATACATTTCAAACAGTTCTACTGTTACTCAACTATACAAAAATTAACAAGTATATAAACCGAGTAATGACACTTATATGCTACCAAATATGTATATTATAAAAAAATATATTATATGGTCAACCAAATAGTACTTATCTAGGATAACAAATACTTTGATACTTGTTTTTGTAGATTCGATCAAACTCTAAATTGCCTACATCCACAGGCTTTACAGCGGTAAAGATTCCCATTTTCAAATTTCGACAGCAAATGATGAACACCGCAGGTGATACAGTTACTGATGCTTAATAACATATATTAATTAACTCACAAGAAACACAACAGTAGTGAGAACCAAACAATACTTCGCATTATCGAATACCATGACAACAGCATCAAACATGGACACAGATTTCTGCAGTCGCCGCTTCATAAGATTAGCGTCTAACCTCCCACCAATCCTGATTGGCAGATGACACAAGTTACGGACCACAGTCCAACAGCCAGTTGATAAGCTCATCAACGGCAACAAAATTCACCTACCACCAATGGACGACTGCAACAACCAATCTCGTAGTGAGACCAACACGGTACAAAAAAAAAAATCAAGCTGTCTGATCAGCAATGCTCCTACTACAAATAATCCCTGCACTCAGCTCACCTGAATGTAGCCTTATGCTTCCTACTTTGATGTAAGTCTACAGCCTGATGCCTCTACGCAGCAACAGGAGTTTGCTTAGGGCCATTGTTCACGCGACTGAACCTCCCATTCCCATTCTGGTAGGGTCGAGATGGGTGGACACCATTCCCGTTCTGGTGGTAACTGTTCCCTGGTGGAGGTGGCCCCCGTCCTCGTCCAGGTAACTCATTCTGATTTCTGAAGTTGTTCCTACGGTTGAAGTTCTCACCACCGTCGTTCCTGCGGTTGAAGTTATCACCGCCACCGTCGTTCCTGCGGTTGAAGTTCTCGCCGCCATCATTCCTGCGGTTGAAGTTCTCGCCGCCACCGTCGTTCCTGCGGTTGTAGTTCTCGCCGCCGCCATCGTTCCTGCGGTTGTAGTTCTCGCTGCCACCGTCGTTCCTGCGGTTGTAGTTCTCGCCGCCGTCGTTTCTGCGGTTATAGTTCTCGCCGCCGTCATTCCGCCGGTTGTAGTTCTCACCACCGTCGTTCCGCCGGTTGTAGTTCTCACCACCATCGTTCCTGCGGATATAGTTCTCGCCACCATCATTCCTGCGGTTGTAGAACTCCCCTTCATTCCTGCGGTTGTACATCTCCCCTTCATTCCGGCGGTTGAAGTTGTCGCTGCTTCTGTAGTTGGCATTGTCCACATAGCCACTTCCTCGCCCTCTGAAGTTATCACCATGGTACACTCCCCTGCCAGATTGGAAACGACCACCTACACCATTGTACAGGGCCTGAGTCCAATGACTACATTGCATAAATCGAACAATAGCAACAAAGTGTTTAAGAATGCCCAGTACAACAAATGGGAAATTGTGTTATTTCAAATATTCAATTGAAAACAATACCGACCAGTACAAAATTACAAAAAAACAAGGTCAGCAGATACAGCAACCTAAAAGCATCTTGCCATGTCCCCTACACGAACTTGCAAGACACTCAAACCATTTTTAACAAGCTGAATAATATGGATGATGATTAGTATACAGGGGAAGAATTTGGCAAAACTTGTATCAAATTGAGAGCAAAGGTACATAGGGGAGGAAAAAGGACTCTGATTGATATATCTTGACATTAAATTTATAGTTTACTGCTTACCTCGTGAATTGGCTCTTTTCGCCTCAATGCCGACTTCTTTGTCCTCCATATGAACCGGAGATGCCTGGGTGACAAATAGGAATCATAACTTGGCCTCAGATTGTCAAAACCACTATCACACCGATATCATCAGGTTAAAATATCACAATCAAAACTATAGTTATCAAGCAGGAAAGGATTCAGCAGTAATCTGAAAGACTGAAATATCAATCATTAGAAATCATCTATCCAGCTGCAACATCCACAGATAGTAAATTCGCATAAAAAAAAATGAATTCCAGTATTCATGTAATTTAGATGCTGACAAATTTCAAAACCACAAAGAAAACCATGATAAGAAAAAAAAAGGATTACTATAATTATGGCACTGCAAACTTTTCCACTAGTCAAGTAGAGCAAGGTCCAGAAAGGAAACTAACTACTACTACAACTACAGAGTATCAGTGATTGGAAGAATAAATAATAAAAGACTAACCTCAATTGCTGCTTGCATAGACTGCTGGGACTCGTACTCCACAAAACCAAAAACATAACGATCGACCTGTACCAGTACAATATGAATTTTCTAAACCAAATATTGCAGATGGAAGAACCCAAAACCAAAAGTTCTAACCTTATTGTGCCGGACTTGGACACCACCTGGCTTTATAGTACCAAATTTCTTAAATTCCTCCTCAACCATTTCAATATTGGCATGGTAAGGCAAATTCTTGACGAAAATTGAATAGCCTTGCTCTGCAGGTCAAGTCAATACAGTGGCAGCATTGCTAATAATGCTAAAGCACTTAATAATAGGAATAAGTCACAAGCCAAACAAACCATTGCGAGAAGAATTGTTTTGAGCAACAATCCCATCACCAGTTTCAATAGCCTGGGTAGGTTTCACGGATGGTTTTTCCGGACCTTCGACAGCCTTGGACACTGGTTTAGGAGCTGGCTTCTGTTTGGAAACTGACGACGTTGTTTTGGCAACTGGGGGAGTCGGTGGGCCCTCCTTCATGACCTTGACCTGTGAGCAGGTCGTAATAGGTATGTAGTTAGTAAGAAGCAAACTAAAAATCAATAAAGTGATATCAGCCAGATCACTTCTACAGTAAACTAAGAACGGAATCATGTGTTATGTGAGTTAATAAAACAGAAAGCTTTGTACAACAATAAATCAAACAGAATGATAAATAACTCACAATGGATGCATAAGATTTCTTAGTAACATCTGTCTGAGTTGGAGGAGGGGGACGAGCAGCAACTAGGGCCTTTTTGGGATCCTCTTTGGGCACTTGCACAGGTGGCTGGGTTTTAACATTATTTTCAATGGCAGTCCCATTAGCAGAGCGATCACTAATTTGCCTCTCTGTAACATTACTCTCAGCTGTCACATGGTCTGAGATCACATTCCTGTCAGCTGGAATAGGTTCTGGTAATGCTGAGCATGTTTCAGATGCAGGTCTACCATTCTGACTGATTTCATTTTCTTGAGTAGCAACTTGAATTATCTCAGCTGGTTTCCTTTCCAAAATAAACCTAAATATATCAGTGAGAACAAAATAGCCACCACTTTCTTGTGGTGCTAGGAAGAACGACTGGGTAAACCTACGAAAAACGCCTTCTTCTGAAGTCAAGGATCCAGTAACAACAATGAGCACCCCGTCCTTGTGAGATAACTGTGCATCTGCAGTCTCTATCTCTGTTAAGCAGTTCCTGACGTCCATAGCCATAATTTTTTCATTAATGGCCTGTAGAGAAAAAAGATGGATCCGAGAGTTAGTCTCAAATTCAGACGGCACGCCTATTGTACAAATGAATCAATAAATGGCCATACAAGAACTTACACTCATAGTGCTTACATACACCATAGTTCCATTGGAATCTGGTCGACCAAGAATACTTGAATCTTGGTAAAACTTGTGCACTTGATCTGGTTGCTCATGTAGAATTTGATAATATTGCTGAACAAAAGCGCCACCTATCTATAAACAACAAAAATAACATTCAGCAATATTTGTGAGAATCCCATGCAATGAATAGAAACACAGGAGAATATAGATTACCACGTGGGGACTTATAGGGTGGTTTACTGGGTTCCCTGCTTGCCCTGCCATTTCTGAGGGGAAGAAAAAATTAATGCCTTGCCACAAGCACGATAGTTATGCCTCACTAGAACCACAAGCACAAATGCAACTTGTAGAGGTGGACGATCAAGGATAGAATAGGAATTAAAAAAGCAAACGAGGGGAAGAACAAACTAATGCCTTGCCACAAACACGACAGTTATGCCTCACAAGAACCACAAGCACAAGTGCAGCTTTTAGAAGTGGACAATTAAGGGTAGAAAAGGAATTAAAAATGACAAGCAAACCATAAGCATTTAGATCTGTCCAAATAGGTATAAGGTAACCTAGAATTTTGTATATATAATAATACTAAAAACAATGACACATGCCTGGTTTCAACAATCAGTCAAATAGAATCCATAGGTTAAAAAGGCATAATTCTAAGCCCAAACTAGTAAACATCAGGCATTTTCTAAGTTTCTTGTCCAACAACCCCAACAAGATTATCACTGGCATAAAACGATACTCAGAAAAAAAATTGCAACAATTCCTTTCAAGAAAGTTCAATATAGGTAGCCAATCATCCATGACACTTGTAAAACAGAAGCTTCAATCACTGTAACCTTTGATTTTAACACACTTACTAGTTCACAATAAACACGTGTTACAAGCATCATATTCCTCTTGGAACCTGCTACGGAAGCGAATCAGACAAATCAAATAGGCAATACACAATCTGGCCATCCTTTGCAACTCTATAATATTGTTCTAAAATCTAAATTGAACATGACCAACCACAGGGTCAATAAGTCCAACCAAATACTAAGCAAGATAAACCCTGCGACCATGGAAAGAAGCCATTTTGATGCTGTTGAATAATACCTATGGGCACAGAAACAGCATTGCATAGCCAATAACTAACATACCGCCATTGAAATGAAGATTGCATCAAAATCGGAGACGAAGGGAGAAAGTTGTATTAGGCAGAGTCACGAAGACTAAATACTTGGCCAACGATTAATCATTCTAGTAATCCACAACAGAGAAAAAAAAAGAGTGACCCCTCAAGAGCTGCTTACAATCTTTCCGATCGCACATGCACAAGGACAGTAACAACGGATAAATCGGAAAAAGAAAACTTGGCCTGCTAGCACCACCGCACCTAAAATGCGCAGACAAAAACCTAATCCGCGCCGGGCACCACATCCCGGAGGCGCCACGAGCACTATCACCCAAAAAAACCTCCCCAGACATCCATCCGCGACAAGCGACCAATAGACGGATCGAATAAACCAGCGGGACGGAGAGATCGGCACACGTGAAGGACGAGAAAGGCGTCGAGACGGAATACCTTGCTCGCGGGGGAGGGGCCGGCGAGGCGCTACCGAGGAGGAGACGGGCGGGAGGGTCTCGCCGGCGCCGCCGCGAGACGACGCCGCCGGCGGTCGCGGAGTGGGGCGCGAGGAAACCCTAGAAAAAGGCCGAGGACTGAAGAGGCGGCGGCGGCGAACGCGGTAGTTTTACACAGGGGCGAGGCGAGGGGTTTAAAAGGCAGCAAAGGGGTTTTGCACCCGCACTCGTGTGTCGTGTGTTTTTCGCTTTCCCCGTCGCGGGTTTTACCACTGCTGCGTCGCTGACTCGTGGGATCCACTGCTCTGGCGGGGACTGAGGCATTTTTGTAGAAAAAAAATCAGAAAAAAGTGTCCAGAACATTTCTTCACCAGCAAGTTTTTCGTTCATTCAGAATCTAGTCAGGCAAATTTGCTTATACATGGAAAAACTATATCATCGTGTTGTCTAGCTTCTACGATAGAGTTAGAGGCTGTTTTAGAAAATATTTGGCAAGCCTGACTTCAGTGGCAGTTTTGTAATTATCATAAGATCTTTAGTTTTCTAGCCACGTCAACCGCTATAGTCTTATAGTTCCCTCTTCCCTCCGCGTATGTCCGATCCGGCCACCACCGCTCCATCTCGACCCTCCATTTCAGGGCATCGCCCCTCCGCTCGGCCTCTTCCCTTCCGCGTTGCTCCACAAGTTTGCATGAGAAAAAAAAAGCTTTGCGCTCCACCGATCGTCATCCCCATTGCCCCCTCCCTCTTCCCCTTCTCCCACCGCTCCACCTGTCGCGGCCGCAGAGTACCTCAATCTGTCGCGGCCGCGACCGCCAAGTGCCACCCCATTGCTCGTCTCCCTCTTCCCTGCGCGTGCACCTCCCTCTTCCTCCCAACGGGTCTCCCCAACCATATAGACCCGTTCATGCCGATGTAGGCCGCACAACCCATGGGTTACTTGTGCGACCATCCGGTTCGTCAATTGGATCAGACGCCTCTCCAATGTTGAAACCCCAGGCCCTCCGTCGCACGCTCGTCTCTCTCCTCTCGCTTGCTCGCCTCCCATGCCAAGCACCGTGCCTCCCGCCGTCACTCACGGGAGGAGGCAACGCCACGTGCGTCTGCTGGCCCTGTCTCCGAGATAGATTGAACGCAACTCGGATCTAAGTAGGGATGGCAACGGGTGAGGTTTCGTACGGGTTGAGTAAAAAATCACCCTCAACAATGTCCACAATATTTGGCTACACCGGCCCTCAACGAGACCCGTGGGTGTAATGTTGCACCCACACCCGTGGGTGTGTTAATAAGAAGCTAACATATAACAAAAAAAAGGCAAATTTTGCTGGAAGACACTAGAGAAACGTGTAATTGGCCAGATCAGACCACTAGATTGAGAATTTTCCAAAAGACGCTGCAAAATTCATGGTTGTTTGCCAAAAGATACCACACTGATTATTTTATTCATTTCTCAATTTTGGGAGAGAGAAGGTGGGGGAAATATCCAAACTATCCATGTCTTCAACCTTCGGCCCTTCGCTTATTATTTGTTGTAACACAATGTCGTCGCCAATTCATTATCGTCCTTCTTGAGCATCTGTTAGCTGCCGCGATGTGTCTTGTCGTGGCTCGGATGACTTCGGTCGTCCACTCGTCCTGATGAAAGGTCCTAATATAGCTAGAGGGGGGGGTGAATAGCCTATTTAAAAATCTACAAAATAACTAGAGCAATTTAATTAGTATAACAAATAGCGAAATGCAAACTTACTTTAGCTCTACAAGGGTTGCAAGCCACCTATCTAACAATTCTAGTTGCTATGATCACTAAACACACAATTTTCTATTTCACTACTCACTAAGAGCTCTCACACTTGCTACACTAAAGAGCCCCACTAGATGAACTTAAATTACAAAGCAAGCTCTCAATTCTAGTTACACTAAAGAACTTGCTACAACTAGTTTGCAAGAATATAAATGAGTGAGTAGGGTGATTATACCATCGTGTAGAGGAGTGAACCAATCACAATATGAATACTAAATCAATCACCGGGAGAATACCAAAAGGGCAAGAGACAACCAATTTTTCTCTCCGAGGTTCACGTGCTTGCCGACACGCTAGTCCCCGTTGTGTTGACCAACACTTGGTGGTTCGAAGGCTAAGAGATGTTGCATGAACCTCGTCCACACAATAGGACACCGCAAGAACCAACCCACAAGTGAGGTAACTCAATGACACGAGCAATCCACTAGAGTTACCTTTCGGCGCTCCACCGGGGAAGGCACAAGACCCCTCACAATCACCACGATCGGAGCCGGAGACAATCACCAACCTCCGCTCAACGATCCTCGCTGCTCCAAGCCATCTAGGTGGCGGCAACCACCAAGAGAAACAAGTGAAACCCGCAGCGAAACACGAATACAAGTACCTCTAGATGCAATCACTCAAGCAATACACTTGGATCCTCTCCCAATCTCACAATGATGATGGATCAATGATGAAGATGAGTGGGAGGGCTTTGACTAAGCTCACAAGGTTGCTATGTCAATGCAAATGGCCAAGAGAGTGAGCTTGAGCCGGCCATGGGGCTTAAATAGAAGCCTCCATGAAATAGAGCCGTTGGGCTCCTCACTGCACTGAACACGGGCCGACCGGACGCTCCGGTCGTGCGATGTGTGCCACGTGTCATCGGCTTCAAACGCCGATTGCCCGATTTCAACGGTCAAGTGATGACCGGACACGTCAGTTAGAAAGTGATCGGACGCTGGATCTCGGCGTCCGGTCGTTTCTAGTAAAGTTCCAAACGCGACATTTCACGACCGGACGCGTCTGGTCATGTTCGACCGGACACACCCTACGTCTGGTCACTCAACGTTTTCTCTCAGGCGCCTCACGTCGGCCGTCGTCGCCAAGATCGATCGGACTCGCACCATGAGCGTCCGGTCGGTTTACACTCCAAAGATCGGTCACAAGACCGAGACAGATAAGATTCTTCATCATCGCGACCGGACTCTGAACCCAGCGTCCGGTCACTGCACCACCAGCGTCCGGTCACTCTGTGAACCTTGTCTTTTCTGTATAGGGCGCCGGTGGTACCGTCGGACTGTACGCACTCTACGGGCGGACACTCCGCCGGTGAAGTTTCCTACCATTGCTCAAATGTGCTAACCACCAAGTGTATCACTTTGTGCACATGTGTTAGCATATTTTCACAAAACATTTTCAAGGATGTTAGCACTCCACTAGATTCTAAATGCTTATGCAATGAGTTAGAGCATCTAGTGGCACTTTGATAACCGTATTTCAATACGAGTTTCACCCCTCTTAATAGTACGGCTATCGATTCTAAATGTGATCACACTCGCTAAGTGTCTCGATCACTAAAAACAAAATGGCTCCTACAATTTTCACATTTGCCTTGAGCCTTTTGTTTTTCTCTTTCTTCTTTTCCAAGTTTAAGCATTTGATCATCACCATGCCATCACCATCGTCATGATCTTTGCCATTGCTTCATCACTTGGAGTAGTGCTACCTATCTCATAATCACTTTGACAAACTAGGTTATCACTTAGGGTTTCATCAAATAGCCAAAACCAAACTAGGGCTTTCACCTGATCCCTTCTTGAGCGACAGAGAGAGGATGAGAGAGAGAGAGAGAGAGCGGAGGGGCCGTGGGAGTTTAGGGCGGCACTCCGGCGGTAGTCAAGGTGGTGGACGGTGG